AAAAAAAAAAAAAAAAAAAAAAAGAACACACTGCCAATAGTGCTTCCCTGCTACGCATGCAGGGACTGGGCACCCTGGAGGACCTGGGAGAACGGCCCTTCCTGTTTCCATGGCTGTCCATCTTCACCCCTGCTGACCGCCACCCCTTTCTCCCGCAGAGCTGGTGGTTCAGACAGGACACCTTCAGTCAGCAGCTGAGCACTGCAGCCCCGTGCCACCAGGGCTCATGAGAGAACGTGGCATCCCAAACCCACACCTATGGCCCGGGGTTTGTTCCCACTCAGTGCCCCTGGGCGACGCCCCCTCACGTGTCCACCAAGTCAATTCCAGGGCTCAGCTGGGCCCCGCCAGGACCCCACATGGGGTGTGTAGCCTTGAGAAAGACAAACAAAACCTAGCTCTGTACCCCCGACTGAGCCCCATGGACTGAGCCAGCCGCGTTGACTTGCTGGCCGAAAGGTCAGCAGTTGGAAGCCACCAGTGGCTCCACGGGAGAAAGACGAGGCCTTCTGCTCCCATCAAGAGCTACCGACTGGGAAGCCCACAGGGGCAGGTCCACCTGTCCTGTAGGGTCCACTCGGGGGCAGTGAGTTTTGTTACAGCCTCGAGTTGAAAGCAGCAGCATCCGAGCCGCAGGGAGCAGGGGCAGAGGGCTACCCCGTTGAAGAACCCGGCTTGCTTCGGACGGCCCAGAGGGCAGTGCGTTCCATTTGGTTTGTGTGACAGCAGGCAGGAGGCAGCTCCGAAGGGTGACCCCTCCCGAGTGCAGTGTTCCTGGCCCTCGGAGGCTGCCTCAGGGAGAACTTTCCAGAACAACAGGCTGCCTCAGGGAGAACTTTCCAGAACAACGGGGAATGCTAATTGCCTACAATGTGGGCTGGAGCAAAGATACGCTGCCCAGGACTGCCTTTCGTCTGCACCTCAGACTGACCCCCTCAGCACATGAGCCTGAAGTGTCTGTTGACCCCAAGTGTTGTCGTAGCTCTAGGAAAAGCTTAAGCAGCCTTGACAGGAGTAAAGCCATTCTGAGCTGACAGCAGCCCTTATGGACTGTAAATGAACTGGCTGATATTAGGGAGGCAGGCTGTGTAGCCGTAGCGCAACGGATGTACCGAAGGAAATGGATGTTCAGGAGGCTTGGAAGAATGACCAGGGCAGTTATTGTTCATCTAAGAATGGCTAACGGCAAGATCCTGCTTCTGTGCTCTGCTTCTTTGCACACCTGCACGTTAAAAAGCTATATAAACCTTCGGCAAATTACACTGGGGGCCGCTCAGTCTCCTCTCAAGAGGGCTGATGGTCCCTGCGCAAGAATTAAAATTTTTCTTTTGAACTTGCCGACGGTCTGGGTTGTTTTCTTTCTGGGAACGGACAGTAGGCTACAACAGAGTGAGAGCTCGCTGTTGTTCAGGGCCTATGGGACAGGTGGAAGGGAAAGAGGTGTGTGTGTGTGTGTGTGGTTTTTTTTGAGGGGGAGTGGTAACACAATTTTCCAATTTACTCAGGTGAATAAAGACTTTTTTTTTTTTAAAGGAAACTAAAAGCCCAATGCCCTGCCATTGAGCCAGTCCTGGCTCACAGCAGCCCCTGGCAAGGTACTGAGGCTGCAAACCTTTATGGGAGCAGACAACCTCATTGTTCTCCCAGAGAGTGGCTGGTGGGTTTGAACCGCCAACCTGGCAGTTAGCAGTCCACCACGTCCTTGACAGGGCAACGGGGACTCCTTCAAAACGTCCAAGGAAAGACAAGAATCGCAAAATCCGGGAGGGAGAGTGGTCACAGGGATCGATCAGCTTCTTTGCCCCGGTAGCCTCCAGAGGGGGGCGAGACTCCAGAATGGGTTGTTTGTGGGGAAGCATTCCTAGATCGGGCTTGGGCTGCCTGAGGTGTGCTTTCATCAGCACTCGGGATAAACCCCCAAAACCCAAACTCATGCCGTCTCATCCCTGCTGACTCGTAGCGACCCCAAAGGACAGGGTAGAACTGCCCCTGTGGGTTTCTGAGACTGTAACTTAAAGGGAGTAGAAAGTCCCATGTTTCTCCCCAGGAGCAGCTGGTGGTTTCGAACTGTTGACCCTGCGGATCTCGGCCCAATGCATAAGCACTGTGCCAGCGGGGCTCCTCGGTGGGGGGGTGGGGGGTGTCCACCGGCCCCGCTAAATCTGCGCATTTTTATCCTAGACACACTGCACTTTGAAACAAAAGGCTTGCCCTGAAAGCCAACACAGCTAGTTGCTTTCCTACACAAGGGTGTCCAAGTGTAAGTGAGCTAAGGCCTGCAGCTGACAGTGCAGAAATATGTACCTGCAACAAACTGTGAGATGAAATGCACTTCACTAGCCACAAGACATCTCTTGACTTCATTGCCCTGTTGGGAGAACCTGTGTAGCACGTGGAGAACTATGGACTCTGAATACACCTGATGGGCATCAGAAAAATATGGACCACTCACAAAGAAACGGAGTAGAAGATGCGGTGTTTTGACGGATGGATCCGACAACAGACACCTGCTTCATCGTTGCTCTTCTGCGATGCGCAGTACTCTACTGTATGCACTAAGTTATCTCCATCCACGCTTCCCCTGATGGGCACAGGGCTGTTGTGAACAGTGCTGTGATGAGCTCAGGTGTGAAGCACCTTTTGGAATGGGTGGTGGAGTGCCAGCCCCCACAACCGAATGGGCCCAAAAGGCGATTGTATAATTGAGGGGTAAGTTAAAGAGACATCAGACAAGATAAAGCATGCAAGTGCTCACCACCGCAGACTTCAGGAGCCAGGCCCGAGCAGAGAGAGAGTCAGTAATGTAATCTCATGAGTTGATATATTTTTGGGTATACAGGCTACGGTATGTACATACTTAACAGGAAGGGGTTGTACTAGAGGCATACATGTAACAGGAAGGGGACAAGCTAGGGGTATACATGCAATTGGAAGGGGAGACACTAGAGGTACACATGTGACAGGAAGGCACATGCATAACAAGATGGGCAGGCTCCAGTCAAAAGGACAACCTAACCTTGATCTTCCCTGAGCTGGCTTGATCACAAGTGTCTTTGGACTCCGAGGGAACAATCTATGATCCTTATCAGAAGGGAATGAGCCTGTGGGGGGAGGTAGATGTTAAAAGGCATCCTCCCTGAGATCAGTTGCCAGACTGCAGTGGGCCTGCTCCCTGCTGCTGGGGACAATGGACAGGCTCCAGTAGGAGGAGTTCACATCCTACTGATAATGGGCTCTATCAGATGAGCCAGGAACAAGTCAAACCGGCTCTGTGACATCCAAAGTTAAGCTGCCATCCTAAATCTAGGATATGCCCATCTTGTCACATGTATACCCCCAATCCCTCTTCTTCCTATTGTGTGTACGTCCCTAGACGACCCCCTCTCATTGCTGTATAACCTATAGTGCAACCCCTTCCTGTGACGTAGGTCTTTACCTGTAATTAGTGGGCTTGCACTCCCCCAAAAGGTACATAGGCCTAGGCTAGCAATAGAGAGCTCTCTCTCTCTGGTCTATCCCTCCCTGGCCTCTCTTCCCTCTCTCCTCTCCTATCCTCTCTCTCTTGTTCCCTTTCCCGGCCTCCTTCCCTTCCCCCTCTCCACGGGGACCACCAAGCGGGGCTGAGGTGGGCAATGCTACCATGTAATGTGTCTGACTGCATCATTGTAATCACTCCTCTACCTCTCATGCTCTCGGTGACTTTAATATAACATATTAAATATGTTATATATATAAATAAATATATATATATTTCAACCGTACAATTGTGCTTACTAAACCCGTGGGTAGTAATGGTGGGGGGCTGGCTCCCCACCCCCAAAACTTTATACTACATGGGCCCTGCTTAGGGTGGGACAGACAATAGGGTCTGATTGCTTTTGATGGCAGACCGCCTTCAGGCAGATAGCTTTCAAGTAGTTGACCTTTCAGCATATCATAAGCGACCATGTGTTAGCAGATAACACCTTACATTTGGCAACATTATGGGGGACATTAAGGGGAATACCTTTTACTTAAGAGAATGTGAGTGGGATGCATCTCCAACTTACGGATGTGAAGGTGTTAGGTAGGCCAGCATAGGACTGGGGGATGTCCGTTAACGCGTGCCCAGAGGGCCAAGCTAGGGAAACAAAGGAGTGGCGCACTGCACATGTTCAGGGTACTGCACATGTTCAGGGTTCCCGCCTGTAGGCAGGGGTGGGTGTGAACTTGAATTGGCTCACCTAGCCAGGTAAATTCAATTCAGCCAATGGGGTCAATCAGGGGTCTTCCACCACGCCACCCTGTGGAATCCTTGGAAAGGCAGAAGCCGGAGAAGAGAGAGAGAGAACTCAGGCGCAGAGAGCTTTGGCACGCTTTGCGGGACGCTGAGCCGCTTCCAGCTAGGCCGCGTGTCCGGGAGGAGGCCCTTGGGTGCCGTGTAAACCTGAAACTTCTTCTAACCCTCATAAAACTCACTTCGATCACGAACCAGGCTTCGGCGTGAATTCTTTCTCGCGTGGAGCCAAGGACCGAGGTATAAATCTAGCTCCAGAGAGATCTAACAAAGGTTCCCTCCCTCCACAGGAGCCCCAGTCTCCCAGACTCCTGAACGTACAGCGTTGAGAGTTTGTCCCATATCCTCTCTTCTGGGCCCTCAGTTTCCCACAAAGGGTGGTCTCGGAGAACATGATGCCAAGTGAAATCCAATCCAGCAGCGCAGCTCACTGCCAACTAGTCAATTCCGTCTCCTAGCGACCCTGTAGGACAGGGCAGAACTGCCCCTGCGGGTTTCCCCAAGTGTAAATCTTTACAGAGTAAAAAGCCTCATCTTTCTCCCTGGGGCAGCTGGTAGTTTCGAACTGCTGGCCTTACAGTTATTGGCCCAACACATAACCCAAAGCAGAGAGTACCAGAAAGATGTTAGCTGGCGCTTCATTGACTATGCAAAGGTATGGACTGTGGGAATCCCAGGAGGAGCCTACCCCTAAGCCTAGTGGACCCGCGCTGCTGTGGGCGGCCACAGTTCTGCACTGAGCTCCAGCCTGCCGTGGGGAGAAGACGGTGTTCTGCACGGACTGGCAGCACGGTGTGTTAGTGACGGACATCCTGTTTATTTCTCTCCTCCGTTCCCTCCTTTAATCGCACTCGGACTCCTCAGACCACGGAAGGCTCGTGTCCTTTCGATGGGCCGTCTGAGGAGACTCCCGGTGCATGGTCTCCAGGTCTCTGCTGAGGAAAACTCTGTGGCCTGAGCTATATATTTTTAAAATGTGGATAAAAAAAAACCCCAATATTGAACACTGCTCCTCCTGCATGCTGACATTACTGCTACTTTAAAGCCCTTGACCTCTTTATTTCCTACTCCCGCCCGCTTTCTTTCTGCGCCACAGCCAGGACAAAAATGTCGACGTTAACCGTGTTGCACGTCGCAAGTGGCACCCAATACACACGTGTGTGAGCTTTGGGAAATATTAGTCAGATTTTTGTGGAAGGTTTTACGTCTGCATTTTGACTTCTCTTGGTGTAAGTTTGTATGCTGTGTGCTTAACCAACATAACCAGGAAGCAAGATGAAACGCTGTGACGGGTGAGTAGAATATTACGTCTGCATGTCCGTGCTCACACAATGGCTGTTGCTGATAGAATAAAAACCAGCTTTCATTTCCTAAAAGGACAAAGCCCGTGGGCGTTTGACTCCCACACCCCTGGAGGCATCGGGGGTCGGTGTTAACACGGGGCAGGTCCATTGGGTGTTTTGCTCTGGGAAGGTGTATGTTAGAAACCAATGCTAGTGGCCACAGGCCCAGGAAGGGGCCAGCAGAGGGTGCTGGCTGGTGGGGGGCTGGGGCAGGTGTCAACACGCTGCCCAGCTTGGCCTTGGCCTCAGGTCCCAGTGGCAGGATGGCACCCCCTGCTGTTGGTACTGGGAAGTAACCAGCTCAGGTTGTAAGGGGCCAGCGGGCAGGGAGCTGGGCCATTTCCACCACATATAGCTGAGGAGCTTCCCTGCCCGTGGACGTTTCTGCTGAGCACAGCGTCTTTGTGCTTCTCACCCGCAGCCATGCACACCTTCCCAGCTTTCCGAATAGCACTGGGTGGCTTTAGTGCCCGATTCCTGAGCCAGTGCCTGCATGGTGTGGTGTCGTGGGCCTGGACATTCACTGGGGATGGTGACCACACGCAGGACTCAGAAAATCGAGGTGCCACAGACCTTTCAAGGTAAGCTGTTGACCCGTCTGTGCACGAGGCAAGGGCCATGGGCTGAAGGTGTGCCGGGTCCCCGAGCCTGGGCCTGTGGCCGCCATGCCGTTTGGAAAGAGCATTGCTGCGCCCCACTGACCAGGCCTTATCAATGCAGGGTGTCCTCAACCTCACCCCTGAGGAGCAAGACGTCACGACGAAACCTGCTGCTCTGGAGTCCGCTCACGGAGACCCTGGAGGACTGCACAGAGTTCTCCGGGGGCTTCCCGAGGCTGCCAGTCTCCACCAAACCACAAAACCTCGTTTCCCTCCGTTGCAGCGGCTACTGGGCTCCAACTGCTGACCTGTCGGCTAGGAACCCAATGTGCCACCGCAGCACTGCCCAGGCTTCTCGACTGCCCAGCCTCACATACTGACAAATAAAGATGTGCACAGAACCCAAGAGGCCCTGGTGGCACAGTGGCTACAGGTTGGGCTGCTAACTGCAAGGTCGGCGGTTCAAAACCAACAGCTACTCCATGGGAGAAAGATGGGTCTTTCTACTCCTGTAAATAGTTAGTGTCGGAAGCCCACGGGGGCAGGTCTACCCTATGGAGTCCTGTCCTATGGAGTCGCTGAGTCGGCGTCAACTGGCTGCAGTGGATTTGGTTTGAGTCTGTGGAGTGCACACGTGTTCCGAATCTCTCTACTGCACAGGTTGCTGACACCCAGAGCCCTAGGGGTAGGGCCCTTCTCCCAGAAGGACGTGGGTCCTTCATGCCAGACTTTGGGGTCTCTGGGGGCCCCTTGTCTCTCAGCCAGGACTCCTCCTTAGCGAGGCCTCCTTACTCCCACACACTGCAGGGGCCTGGCCCTCCTGAGTGGACTAGAGAGGCCACCTGCCCGCTGGGCTGGAGGAAGGGAATGGGTGGGAACAAAATAAAGTCAGCCCACCTCTGTCCACTGTCTGACCTGCTCCCAAGGAGCCCCGACACACTGCAGTGAACTGAGCAATGGGCAGCAGATGGAAGGGCAGACGGTAGGAACCACACCGCAATAGCAGAAGCACTGGGGACCAGAGCCTGTGAGCGCAAAGAAATACCATGGCCAAGCCCACAGCCACTAGGCAGATGCAGACTGCTAACGCCTCTAGCACTAGGTAGAGCTGCCCTGTGGGTTTCTCAGACGACTGTTAACTCTCTATGGGAGTAGAAAGCCTCTTCTTTCTTCTAAAGACCAACTGGAGGCTCTGAACCTCTGACCCTGAAGTTAGCAGTCCAACACTTGAGGGGCAGGCCTGCTTTGTTACAGGGTTGCCACGGTAACAACATGCTTCCCTAACTGCTCTCTGCTCTACCATCCTCCCCCACCACATACCACACACACACACATCCCACACTGTCCCCTGGGGAGCCTGGGTGAGCTCTATACCATTTTGTCTACAATTCTGCTGGGCTTGTCCACTGGTAATGCTACCAGGCCTGGCATCAGGTGTGACCCCCACCTCCCCAAGGACAAAATGGCCACCTCCTGGCACCCGCATGACAGACACTCGCCTCTTGGCCTGCACCTAAGGACCAGCGGGGGATCCAGAGGGTGAGGAGACCAGATGGAAAGCAGCACCCAATGAAAGCAGTCCCCCTGGCCACCGACATGTCAGGGGTGAGTTCCTGTCGGGGCTCCAAGGGGACTGAGGCGAATCCCTCGGGCTGGAGGGAAAGAAAATGTGCAGGAAGCAGAAAAAGACCTGTGTCAGTTAGGAGGGCCTCCACGGAGATGCCTGGGATGCACCGTTCAGTGGTGTCAGAGTGGATGCAGTGGGCACTAGGAGGCAGCCCCGCCGACCACTGAACTGGGCCAGGGCCGTGCAGCAAGTTACTGCATGTGATTCTTTTAACTAGTCTTTAAGGAGCCCTGGAGGCCCAGTGGGCAGAGTGTTGGGCTGCACATTGCAGTTCAAGCCCACTAGCCGCTCCTTAGGAGGAAGATGAGGCTATTTCCCTGATTGTAGAGTGAAAGTCTCAGAAACCTTGCTCTCTGCTCTGCCCCAGGTCACCACGAGTGGGAATCGACCACAGTGGCCACAGCCACAGTCACTGGGCTGCTCACTGCAAGGTCAGCAGTTCAAAACCACCAGCTGTCTGTGGGAGACTGGTGAAGCTTTCTACTCCCATAAAAGTTTATAGTCTCAGAAACCCACAGGGCAGTTCTAATCCATCCTGTGGGTCTCGGTGAGCTGGAATCAATTTGATGGCACTGTTTATTTTTGGCTGGTGGTGCTGTTGGGTAAGGACTGGGCTGCTAACCCCAAATTGGTTCCTATCCGCCAGCTACTCCACAGGATGAGGTTGGGGCTATCTGCTCCCATAAAGATGTACAGCCTCAGAAATCCTATATAGGGTATGCAGATAAGGCATTTGTGGTCCAACAAAGAGACTGGATAGTTTGGTGCTCACGCAAATAAGGTACATGAAACACAGAGAGGGAATCAGTCGATTTTGCCATGCTGCTAAGCTTAAAGGAAACCAATTCCAGATGCAAGAGGGGACCTTTCACTAAGAAAGAAGGGCCAAGAGTGGGGTGTGTCCTTTGAACCTGGGGTCCTTGTGCTGAGAACCATCTAGACCCCAGAGCCACACCTGTAGCACAGAGATGGATCCAGACAGAGAGAAGTGAGTACAGACAGAAATGGTAGCTGCAGAACAGGAACCCCGGACGGACCCAGGTGGTGTGGTGGGATTCCTGGCCCCACAGTGGGGGGTCAGACCTCTGGCAGGAAGCTTGCTGGCAAGGGGTGCCTCCCAGTACTTGTGCTGTGGAGCTTTGATCACATGGGCAGCAGCCAGACAGAGAGGCAGGCCAAGGGGAGCTTCTTTCCTCAGGGACCAGTGGAGCTGAGGGAGCTGGCCTACAGTGAGAAAGAGAGAGAGAGAGAGAAGGATTTTGTTTACATGCTTCCTGACCCCATCCCTATCCGGAGTTTAGCCTGTTGATCCTTAGCCTAGTCTGCCCCAGTGACCCCCCTAACTGGGAGTGTGGCCATGGTCACCACTGTACTCTCAAACACAGCAGGAGCAGAGAGGCCCAAGCCCGGTCAGTGGCTTCCAAACTGGTCAAGAGGTTGGAGGGTGGAGGTATGAATGTTGCCTAGAGCTGCAGTACTGATAAGATCTCCACCTCCCAGGCTGGTATGCCATTCTTACAGCCAGGGGCAGGTCTGCAGACAATGGGCAGTGCACAGGAAGGACCTGGGCAGCCAGCCCACCGGAAAGACAGTGGCAAAGGCTCCCTGTCCCTGACACAGGCGGCTGCTTTGTAGGGGGGAGCATTGAGATCCAGGCCGGGGATAGACACCTACCTTTAAGGTGAGCTGCCCGGGCTGAAATGAAATCCCCAGTCCCTTCCAGCTCTGGCTCCAGGTGGAAAGAGCATGGGGAGGGGGAGAAGAGAGGTTGCTCACTCACCCTAGTGGGGGTGGGGCAGCAGAGTGAGCAAAACCCGGAAAAATGCGGGTGAGGCCCACAAGGTCAGCCAGAGGGTGGAAGAAGACAGGCCAGCTGGATCCAAGACCTGGGACTTGGGGAAGGCAGGTAGGCGGGGCCTCCGTGGCACCCCGCCCTCCTCCTGGCTGCTGGCTGGGCCCTGCGCACACAGGTGAGGGAGGCTTGGGCCAGGGCAGAATGGGCAGGTGGGCAGAAAATCCCTGGGCTGGGTGGGGGTGGGGCTGGCACTCAGATGCAGGGACTCAGCTGGGTGGGTCCTGGATGCCCGGAGTGGTTGCTACTTTCAGTGGGAGACACACTCTCCACCCTCTGCGGTCACTTAAGTAGCCCTGGGCAACCCACCCACCGCAGTCCTATCGGTTCCAACTCATAATGACCCTAGAGAAAAGAGCAGAACTGCTCCCCAGGCCTTCCACAGCGGTCATCCTTACAGGACCAGATTGTCAAGTCTTTGTGCTGCTCTTGCTGGGGGTGAGCGTCCAGTCCTTTGACGTCAGCAGCCTTGTCCTGTGCCCACTGCGCCTCCAGGACCTGTTAGTCCTGGCAGCAAGGTTGCCAGTCATGGCAGCAAGCTTGAAATCCAGTTGCCCACTGGGACTGGGGGCCCAAGGGCCTGCCTGTCCAGGACAGGTATGAACTGGGCTTTGTCCTCTGCCGCAGGCCTTTTGTCTGAGGAGTCTGCGTCTTGGAGCTGTGGCCCTGAGGAGTCCAGACACACGATCTCTGTCCCCTGGAGCAGGAATAGGGCGATGGACGCCGACTGGTGATGGCTGAGGGCCTCTGTCCGGACATGGTGGGAGGTCCAGACCCATCAGGTTGCAGACCAGCAGCGTCCACTGAGGGGACATGAGTGCGAGTGGGGGGTGGAGCTGTAGGGCAGGGAGGAAGGAAATGGGCTGTGAGCTGTGCCTTGAGGTGGGAGAAGTGAGGTGAGGAGCCAAAACTTCTGGGTCTCTTTCCTGGGTGCTCCACCAAAACCAGGACTAGGGGCTTGGGGGACACCCAAGCTGTACTAGGTTCCCGAGCGGGGAGGCCTGGATACTGGGGGAGGGCAGCCAGGCACAGTCTGCAGGCCCACAGGACTGAATGTGTGTCTTTGCAGGAGCCGGGGCCATGGTGCCTGGTCAGCAGTGGGGGCACCTGAAGAAGCCGCTCTTTATCCTGGGTGGCACCTTCTCCCTCTTGGGGCTGGCCTTGCTGGGCATCTGGCCGGCCGCTGCACCCGGCGTGGCCTACTTCCTCCTGGTGCTGGGAGGCTTCTGTGCTTTTGCGTACCTGGGTGCCTGCGTGCTGGAGCAGGGGCCGCGCTCTGCGCAGGCTGGGAGCCCGGGGTCCTCAGTCAGCATGTGGTGAGTGAAGGCCCCCACAGGCAGGCTTTGCTCTCCCCACCCTGGAAAAGCTGGGAGGGGACAGGAGGAGGGGGCGAGGGCTCCTTTCAGAAAACCGCTGGTGACCTCATTTCTCTTCCATCAGGGACAATGAGGCCTTTGAGGTGCCAGTCTACCAAGCGGCCGTGGCACTGGGGCCACCGTACAGGCCCCAGGAGCGGGAGAACCCGCCATCCTACAGCAGCGTATATCCTCTGGGTCTGAACGTGGGCGAGACGAGCCATCCGGAGGCACTCCAGAGAGTGGGGCTGGCCAGGAGAGGGGGCTCAGAGGGGTCCCTCAGACGAGCCCCAGCCTGCCTTCGGCTTCGGGGAGCACGGACCGTGTCCACCGATCCTGACTTGCAGAGCCTGGGCATGGCCCCCAAACTGGAGCCTCTTACTCCGCCCCCAGCCTACGAGGTCAGCCTTGGTCACCTGGATGATGACAGTGTGTTTTACGAGGACAACGGGACAGTCCCCTAAACCGCTCTCCCTGCTGGCTGAGATCGTACTGAACCTGCAGAGGGAGGGGTGGGGAGGAAGGAGGGCCCAGAGACGCTGGGATGGGGATGCACCAGGTCCCCAGCCTGCGCTGGGGCTCAGAAACCCAGGGTCACTAGCAAAGGGTGCCCTGCTAGGATAGGCCAAGTGCACGCGGGGCAACGCCTTTGGAGGCCACACCCTTCGCCCCTGGCATTGTCAGCTCGTCAACGAATAAAGTGAAAAGTTCTCCCGCCTCCGTCCCATGGTTTCTGCTATGCATAGAGCACAGGAGTCACGCCCCAACACCAGCCAGCCCAGGCCTGCCCGCCGGTCTGCGCCTGCGCACGGTCCAGCTGCGCGACCTAATACGTGTGGGAAGGAGCCTGGAAACGTGGGGGCGGGGCCAACAGTGGGAGGGCGGGGCCTGCATCGGCGGGTCGGTGACGGCAGAAGTAAGGGCGGAGCCGGCTCACGCAGAGGCCAGGCTCCCTTAGGAGGTAGGGTAGGCCCACAGAGGGGCGGGACAAGACCTCGTAGGGCGGGGCTCGTTCGCATTGGGTCCGCGCCGACCTACGTAGGCTAGGTTCACCTAGGGGCGGGACAAGGCCACGTAGGGCGGGGCCATCTTGCGTGGAGGCGGGGATAACACGTGTACGCTGCGTAAAGGCGGCCCCGCTCCTGTCGCCGCGGGGCTGGAGGCGCGTCGGGCGCGTCGTGACGTCAGGCGGGCTGGGAGGCCGGGCGTGCGCCGTTGCGTCGGCGCTGGGCGGGGCGCCGGACGCGCTGCCGCCCGGTTCGCTCGGCTGTGGGCGGCGCGTACACAACCCGCGAAAGGCGGGAAATGGCGGCGCCAAGCGCTGTGTTGCGGCCGGCCCTCCCGCCGAGGGGATTAATGGCCGCTGACAGGGGCCGCAGGTGAGTGGGGGAGGGGCTCGGGGGGGGCGTGCGGCCCTGGCGTCCCCTTCGCGTTGGACTCGGACTTCGGCCGCGTTCGCGCCTCCTGCCGCAGGCGGGAGGCCCGAGGGGCGCGGGGTGCTCTGGGGTCGTCGCCGCGGCGCCGCGCCCTCCCCAGGGCCTGCGGCTGCAGAGCGCCCCGGCTCTGCAGCCTCGCCACGTCCCGGCCTCCGGTGGGCGCCGAGCGCTGTAACCGGACCCGGGCTCCGGCGTGCTCGCGGTCGGTGTGGCGCGGCCCGTAAGGCGCCCCGAGAAGCCCGCTCGGCTTGGCACGGGAGTCCTCGGGTCGGCAGGCTCGGCTCCCGGGGCTCCGGTGTGCGTTCGAACCCGCCAGCCGCTCCGACGCAGGCGGATGAGTCCGGCTGCTCCCGTGACAGTTTTCAGCCCGGATGGCGGAGTCGGAACCGGCCCGATGGTGGCAGTGGGTCTGATTTTTGGGTTGGTTGCTGCTCTCCACCCAGACGGCCTCGGACTGGGACGAGAACCGAGACTTCGAAAGGGCCCCTCCTTGCATTGGCAAGCCGGCATTTGGGGCTCTGGGGTCCTGTCGCGTGACAGCGCAGCTTGTGGACCCCGGGCGACGCTGCAGAACCGATGAGCGGTGCTTTGTTTGGCTTTGTTTTGTTATGTTTCCGGACTTCTTTCCCCTCCCCATTGTGGTTTGGATGAAAGTTGGCAGCGCATCTTGGCTTTCAGCTCATACACGTTTTGTTGGGGGAGGCGGGGGACAACCCCCTGATCAGAACTGCACCTTCCCATTTCCTCCCTGGGGCTCGGCTGCACCGTCCTGCCGCCTGGCTTTGTTCCTGGCATATGCTGCCCTTTTGTTCTGAGGGGTAGAGGCCTCCCTGTTTCCTTGCATACATCCGTCTGTCGTTTGGCTGGAGGGTGATCCCTAGGGAAAACGGATGGTCCAGCCTGGGGGGTCTGAGCTGGGAAGGAGAGGAGTAAGGGTGAGGCTGCCTGGAGGGAGGACGTTCTGGCAGGGGGGGGATCTTAAGTGGACAATCTTAAGTGTAAGGACCGGTCTGAGGTTCGCCATGGATGGGATTGCAGTGGGCAGAGGGGACCCTGAGCGGATGGGTGGCACAGGAAGGGCTCCAGGGAGAGGAGAGGAGAAAGTTCCAAGGGAGGACACCCAACCTGTTCCACCACTGCCCTGGGAACCTCGCTGGGAACACCCAGACTGTCGCTGAGCTTACCCAGGAGTAGCTGTCACTGCAGGTTTTTACCAAAGGTCTGGAGTGACAAGTGTTCCATTCTAGCAGAAACCACAGGTTAAAAGGAGTTTCTGGCCACGCACACACAAATATATACCTCCCACTCCCCCTGCCTTACTAGCTCCCTTGACGGCTCTCATTGGGGTTTTCTTCCTCTGGACTGAAATTCCCCAGCCACAGCTGGCCCAAATAAATCCTGGGGGGCATGTCATGACTTCTGAGATGTGTGTACACACACACCTTTGAAATCAGGTTGCATTTTGAAACCATCCCGGTAAGTTTATAAACTGAAGCCCACCCCCATCCCTCCATGCCATCCTGTTCTCATTCGTACACTCAGGGTTTGTCACTCAAATCAGGCACAGGTGATAGGTACACAGGATATGGGATTCTGTTGTGCACAGCCAGACCAGAACCAGTCTAAGTCATCCCTGAAAGTAAGGCCGCCCAGGGGACCAGATTCGCACAGAACCCAGCTTCCCCTAAGCTGAATGCTGAGGTGGGTTTGAGTTTCACTGATCATCTTTGTGATGTCCTTGGTGTCCAGGAAACCTAAGCTACAGTGTCAACAACAAAAGACCCACTAAGTATTCGCTGTTACAAATAAATACATTAGAGAGCCCATCCCATTATGTATCTCACCTACAGTGAAAAGTGGCCCCCACTGTGCTGTCCTCATCCATCCCCTCCAGGGTCAATAATATGAAGTGTTTTTCAGTGGTTTAAATCATTAAAATCGGACAGCCAGACAGAGCATGCCTTGCCATCAGTGTTTGTATATATATGTGTGTGTGTGAGCGCAAGTACGTGTGCTCTCTCACTAAGGGAACCCCCTCCCCCTAGTCAGCCTGCTTAGGAGGCTCCTAAGGTGAACTCATCCCAGAGACGTGAACCTGCTCGAAATCCTGTTCTGCTTGGGTCTCTGGCATCAGAGTACCTCTGCCCCCACCCCGCCCCTCACAGGGTGCAGAACCTGAGTGCTCTGAGGACCTCACTAATCCCTGCCTGCAGGGTGCTGGGCCTGTGTGGCCTGAGGACCCTGCTTTGCCCCCTCCCCGCAGGGTGCTGGGCCTGTGTGGCATGCATCCTGACCACCAGGAAGTGCTGAAGCGGAACCGGGTGCTGCTGGCCAAGCAGTTGGTGCTGAGCGAGCTGCTGGAGCACCTGCTGGAGCAGGACATCATCACGCTGGAGATGCGTGAGCTGGTCCAGGTGGGGCTGGGCTGCCATGGGAGGCCTGGGGGTGCACCCTAGTGACCACTTGGCGTGACATGCAGCCTTCTCCCGATATCACAGGCCCGTGTGGGCAGCTTCGGCCAGAACGTGGAGCTCCTCAGCCTGCTGCCCAAGCGGGGTCCCCGGGCCTTCGAGGCCTTCTGCGCAGCCCTGCGGGAGACCAAGCAGGCTCACCTGGAGGAGCTGCTGCTGGCCGCCCTCGCTGCCCTCCAGCATGAGCCCCCACCACCACCGGTACTGCCTGCCCTTGGAAGCCTGGGTGTGAGGGTGGGGCAGGCTGCGTCCCTTCCCTGAGGCTGCTGCTCTTACAGCTGAGCTGTGACTACGACTTGGGTCTTCCGCTGCCCGTGTGTGAATCCTGCCCCCCACTCAAGCAGCCCCGCATGACTGCAGGTGAGGGACCACCCCCGGTGGGCTTCCCCTTTGCCCCCAGCCCGCTCCATCACCTTGGGCTTTCTTCCCCAGTATGCTGGGTGCTGGCAGGTCATGTAGGCGGGGCGGTGGGAGATCCCGAGCTGGTGGCCTTTCCCTTCCATGTGCCGTCATTTACATTGAGGCTGCTGGTGAAGCAGCCTTGTGGACTGAGGCTCTCCTCAGACCCTCACACCTCGCAGTGGAAGCAGACAGGCCTGGGCTCTCCTGGGGTGTGGGGGCTGCTGACCAGAGCCCAGGCTGTGGCCATGCTACCAAGCCAGCCCTGGTGCTTGGACATACCCCCATTATTACCTCTGCCTGCACAGAGCCCCTGGAGCCCTCCATTGACAGTGGGGATGGCCCGCCCATCCTGCAAGTCAAGCCCTGCTCTCCTGCCTTCTACCAGACACACTGCCAAGCGGTAAGCCCCGTGGGGGGCTGGGGGGGACCCACAGGAGCTGCTGTCATTTGCACCTCAGGTAGGCTGCACATACAGGGCCCTTCTCACCAACGGGCGAGGCTCTCTCTGCCCCCTCCTGTCTGGCCTCCCTCTGGTCTCTATCTGTCCTTCAGGTGTACTCTGCCTTGTGCACACACACACACCACCCCACACCCCTAGCCTGCTGCACGCAGGTGGCCAGTCCCAGGCTCTGGTTTCAGGTGCACTCACCACCCCTCCCCTACAGGCTTACCGCATGCAGGCGCGCACTCGTGGTCTGGCACTGGTGCTGAGCAACGTGCACTTCACGGGAGAGAAGGACCTAGAGTTCCGGTCAGGGGGCGATGTGGACCAGGCCACGCTGGCCAGCCTCTTCAAGCTGCTGGGCTACTCCGTCCACGTCCTCCAGAATCAGACAGCTCAGGTACCAGGCAGAGCGGGCGTGCATCTGCCACCTCTGCTCCTCACGGCCCCCTGTGCAGGCCTGGGGCTTGCCTGGGACCCTGCAGTAGGAAACGGCACAGCAGGGGTCATTGGGCCACTGATGGAGTTCTGGTGGGCGATTGGTTGGAATCTCCCCGTAATGCCATCCAGTTATACCATTTGGTGGAAGTCTTGTGTCTCAGCGATTGGGAACCCTCTAGCCCTGCGCCCAGGGAGGGGTGCTGCTGGAGGAGGCTGCTACAGCCCTAGGGCCCCTTACCTGTGGACTCCCCACAGGACAGCATCACCGGTCCGTTCTCTCTCTTGGGGACCTTCTGTGTACTCGATGGTAGTTGGTATTTTGACTCCAGAGTGGCAGTGTGTTACTGAACTTAGCATTGGGGCTGTCAGGTAGGGTAGGGGGCTCTGCTGGCCTTCCAGCTGCCCTGTGACTGGGGGAGGTTGGGGGCAGGGATGACTGCTCACTCATGAAGGTGGGGACAGATGGAGCAGTGGGGGTCTGCCTGTGTGGGTGCTGGGGTACCGAGTCAGAGGTGGTATGGCTGGGGGTCTGCCTGCGTGGGTGCCAGTGCAGCGGGGGCACTCAGCGGTGACTGTCCTCTAGGAGATGGAGAAGCAGCTGCAGGACTTCGCCCAGCGGCCGGAGCACCGCCTCACCGATTCCTGTGTGGTGGCACTGCTGTCCCACGGGGTGGAGGGTGCCATCTATGGGGTGGACGGCAAACTGCTTGAGGTGCGTGCTGGCAGGGTGGGAGGGGTGGGGGCCGGGCGTCAACCCTATTGCCTGCGCCGGCCTGGGCACCACTCATGCTATCGCTGCTCCCCTGTCAGCTGCAAGAGGTCTTCCGGCTCTTCGACAACGCCAGCTGCCCGAGCCTGCAGAACAAGCCCAAGATGTTCTTCGTGCAGGCCTGCCGTGGAGGTGAGTGCCTGGCCCGGCCGGCGCTGGGTGGCGGTGCCTGGCCCCCGCCAGCTCTCATTGTCCTGTTTGCTCCTCTCAGGTGCTATCGGACCCTGGGCACCTCCTTCTGTTCCCTGCTGCCGCCGCCCTCTTGCTCTGTAAGTGTCTCCAACTCGGTGCTCAGCGTGCACCCCCTTGGAGGGGCGCCGGCGCCCTCCTGCTGTAGGCCTTCCTCTGCTCCATGTCTGTCCCTCTCGCTGTCCCTTCCTGTTTCCTCTTGCTCTCTGTCCCCACCCCTCCTTGCTGCCCTCAGCTTCACCCCTGCTGCCGCCTGCACCCACGGAAGGCACAGGCCCTCCAGTCCGCTTCCCAGGACTGGCCCTGGGCTCGCTCTGCAGAGATCCGTTAGGTGTCCCGGCTCTGGGTCAGAGTACAGCAACCCGCTCTATGTGTGAGGTCACAGGCGGTGTCCCAGGTGTGGCTACCTGGGTCCCTGCTGCCATTGGTGGCTGGTGACCAGGACGCTCTGAGGAGGTTGCACCTGACTGGTAGGGAGGCCTGGCCATGACTTGAAGGTCCAACCCCAGATCTTTGTGTCCTTGTGGGCAGCCCAGTATCACTGCCACTGCATACAGTGTGCAGGCCCCACTGCCCACCACACACCTGTCAGTCCGTCACACCTGTCAGTCCGTCGCACCGTGGTGGCTTATGGGTGGCTGTGATGCTGGAGGCTCTGTCACTGGTATTTCAAATGCCAGCAAGGTCACCCAAAGTGGACAGGTTCCAGCAGAGCTTCAGACTCAGAGCAGACTATCATACTCACTCTGTGTGCTAAGCAGATACTCAAAGAAGCTGGCGTCTATGAGGAAGACATCAGGATTGGAGGAAGGATGATGGACAACCTGTGACTACAGATGACACAACCTTGCCTGCTGAAAGTGAGGAGGACTTGATGCCCTTGCTGATGACGATCAAGGGTTACTGCTTTCCATATGAATCACAGCTCAATGTCAAGAAGACCAAAATCCTCACAACTGGACCAGTAGGTAACCTCATGGTAAACAGAGAAGCGGTTGAAGTTGTCAAGGATTCTGTCATGACTTGATCCAGTCAGTACTCATGGAAGCAGCGATCAAGATAGCAAATGACGAATTACATTGGGCACAAGAGTTCTTTGAAAGCGTTTGAGAGCCAGGATGGTGCTTTTACGACTAAGATGTGCTTGCCTCGAGCCATGGTGTTTTCTGTCACCTCCTACATGTATGTGCAGTTTGGACATTGAATAAGGAAGACAAAAGAAGAGACCATGGATTTGAATCCTGGTGATGGGGAGCAAGGCTGGAAGTCCCCTGGGCAGCCAGAAGAACAAAGAAATCTTGTCTTGGAAGAAGGAAGCCCGAGTGCTCCTTAGAGGGAGGCAAGGAACATGAGACTTCATCGCACATACTTTCGACACGTGGTCAGTAGAGACCATCCTGGAGAAGGATGTCATGTTTGGTAAAGTGGAGGAGGGACAGCGAAAGAGGAAGACCTTGGGCAAGATGGATTTACACAGAGTCTGCAACAATGGGCTCAAACATCAGAACAGTTGTGGGGATGACGCAGGACTGGGCAGTGTTTCGTTCTATTGTACATCGGTCACTATGAGTTGGAACCAACTTGATGACAGCACAGCCCCCTACAGACTTATGATGGCCAGGACCGAACTGGACCCTGGGGGTGGGGCAGCTGGGTTTGCTTGGAGACATGGGGAGGCTGCTGGGTGGAGGGTGTTGAGAGGGAGGTGGTGGGCTGTTTGAAGGGCTGCTGTCAACATGGAACCCATAGGAGGGGATGCAGGGATGTGGCCCCAGGTGACAGACTTCACACAGGTAGCAGAGGAGCAAGCACTATGGTGGTTAAGCAGTTTTCTGCCCTCAGACTGGCCTGGGCTCCAACCATGAGCCTGTTCTCTAGAGAAAGGCTGTGTTATCTGCCCTGTTGAGATTACAGCCTGGGAACCTGGCCGGGGCTGTTGCTCTGTCCTGCAGGCTGGCCACAGTGAGGGGCCCCTGAGGAGGTGCTCTGTGGTCTGTTTGCAGCAGGCGGGTAGGCAGCGATGTGGAGGTGAGTGCTACTGCTCAGCTCCTGATCTAGAGATTGCCAGGTGATCCCCATTCAGAGGTGCTTCAGAAGGAAACCCTGACAACTGATGTCCCCAAACTCGGTCATTGGCCCCCTCAGAGCACAGCCTCTCTGCCACCGTGGGTCACTGTGTGCCCGCCCATCCATCAGCAAGGACTAGATGCTGGTCTGAGAGGCGGGGACCCTCTGCTGGGAGTCTGGCCTCCAATTCAGCAGCTTACAGCCTCGACCCCTTTCCATGTGTGGATGGCTGCTCACTCCGAGCCCATCAGGTGCTATCACCCAGACTGCTTCTCAGCCCCTCCTCAAAGTTTCCCTCTCAGCTTGTTTAATGAAGTGAAGAGCAGGTGGCTAGGTGATGGCAACTGGGGCTACGGCCTGCAGTCTTTTTGGAGACACTGGGTTTAGATGGCGCCGCGTGTTTGATTTATGAGCTTGTTTTTCTCATCTGTGGTAAAACCATCAGTGTTTATTGGCACAGCAATAAATGGTCGTGGGATGGCGCTCCCAGGCTGCAGGTGTGGAACCAGCAAGCAGGGACACGGGGTCGGTGGGACGGCACAGAATGTTTGCCACAGCCGCACCCTGTCAAATGCGCCCGGGTACATAGGTGCAGGAGTCCAGCCTGTGTCCCCATGGGGTTGTGGTGAGGGCAGGGGAGGGGGAGTAGCATTCGGGCCCATGTGCAGGGAGCCAAGCTTCCCCACCTGTGTTTGCATGTTGAGTGTTGTGTCCCTGGACCCAAGGTGGCCAGCAGCGAAGCCTGGGCGCGCCCGCAGGCATGAGGGCCAGTGTGTCCAAGGGGCAGCGCGCTTGGTCCCGTTTTCGGACTGTTTGCTTTGCTGCAGGGGCGGGAGGTGTGTGCACGCATATGCTGTGAAGGACTGGCGCACACCAACTTGTTTGCCCCTGGGCAGCCCAGGTTGGAGGCAGCAGCTGGAGATGGCCCTTCCCACCCTCTTGGGAGCCAAGGCTCCATGGCTGCGCTGACCGCCCCCCACCCCCGTGTCTTCCTACAGATGAGACGGACCTCGGGGTTGACCAGCAGGATGGGAAGAACCAGGCACAGTCCCCTGGGTGCGAGGAGAGCGACGCAGGTGCTGCAGGGCTGCTGAAGACACGACTGCCCACGCGCTCTGACATGATCTGCGGCTATGCGTGCCTGCAAGGTAACCGGGTGAGGGCCAGGCCCGGGGTTGTGGGGCCGGGAAGGCCTTCACACCGCTGACCGGGTGGGTTATAGGCACAGCCGCCATGCGCAACACCAAGCGGGGTTCCTGGTACATTGAGGCGCTGGCCCGCGTCTTCTCCCAGCACGCCTGCGACATGCATGTGGCCGACATGCTGGTGGAGGTGAGTGGCCCTGTGTGACGCCAAGCCCCTCCCACCCCCACCCTGGCCTCGCCCCCGGCCCCATCCTCCGACTGTGCCTTGCCCTGCCCCACAGGTGAACGCCCTCATCAAGGAGAGGGAAGGCTATGCCCCAGGGACCGAGTTCCACCGCTGCAAGGAGATGTCCGAGTACTGCAGCACACTCTGCCGCCACCTCTACTTGTTCCCAGGGCACCAGGCCACGTGACCCACATCTCCTCACAGCCCCCCCACATGGCCCTGCGGGGTTGTGTGTCGGGATCCCCTGGGAGGGAGGAGTGTAGCCATCTACTTGGGGCCACCGCTGTTTGCCTTCAGGCCTGCAAGCTACTGAGCCCTGCATCTGGACACTGCGTGGGGGCCACTTCCCATTCCCTGGACCTTGGGGGATGGAGGGGTGAGAGTAAGGCTGTGCAGCAAGTGGAGTACTCCTGCCTCTAACCTGCCCAGGCCTGGCCCACCCCAACCCAGACCCGGTGTTCACCCTACTCTTCTCTGATACACCCTGAGTACACCCCAGCACCCTATAGCCTACCCCTCTGTGGCCTCCTGGGTCCCTGGCTGTCAAGGGCGAGCACAAGCCTGACATGGCCTGTGCTCCTTCTCTGCCCCGGCCCTCCCGGCCCATCCTGTTCTCTCCACACTGCCACAGAGCCACCCAGGGTGAGTGGGCTGCTCCTCAGGACTACCTGGCTTATCACAAAGGCCTTTCCTCGAGTCCCACTGAGTAGCTTTGGACAGCACAGGGCTGGCTGTGCTCCTTCCTCCCAGACACGCTCACATGTTTGCGCACGTGCTCACACACGTGCACACACCTGCTGCCCTAGGTGTTAGCTTCTGCTTTCCTTCCATCAACAGCTGTAGCTTCATCTTCTGCACTTGGCACGCTCTCACTTCTACCCTCTCCCCTGGGGCACAGCCCAGCCCCTTGTTTGACTGCAGGCCCCTGGAGAATGGGCTGGGAGAGCCAGGCGCCCTCCCTGAGCAGGGCTGCCCAAGCCTCCGCAGGCTCACTGGCCCTTCCTGCCCTACATGGTCACAGCCAGCAGTTTATGGTTGCAGGCTGGCCTGTGACTTAGTCCCCTCCCCGCTAGGTTGTAGGCTCCAGGGCACAGTGAGCGCCCGGCCAGCTGGTAGGTGCCCTTGTACTCGCTGTAGCCTTTGAACTCTTTCTACGTATTTGTCACAGGTCAGCGAGCCGGAGGGTGTTGAGAGGGAGGTGGTGGGCTGTTTGAAGGGCTGCTGTCAACATGGAACCCATAGGAGGGGATGCAGGGATGTGGCCCTAGGTGACAGACTTCACACAGGTAGCAGAGGAGCAAGCACTATGGTGGTTAAGCAGTTTTCTGCCCTCAGACTGGCCTGGGCTCCAACCATGAGCC